TTACAAGGAGAAGGTGACTTATGAGGACATTACCCCATGTCCCCATTTTTCAAAACGCTTATAAATCATACAAAGTGAGTTTTTTTGAGAAAGTAAAAATGCACAAAGTTTCCTGTAAGGGGTAGGTTTAGGTGTAGGGTTGGTGTAGGGCAATAGCACATACAGTTTTTACTGTATAAAAACCATTATGCCTATGGAATGTCCCCACAATTCACAAAAACAATTATTTGACTATATTTTTAAAAATATTCTAAAAAAATAATATAATAAAAAATATTAAAAATACAGTACACATTCATCATCAATTTTCTCACTTATTATGATGATTATTATAATGACCTGTGTGTGTGTGTGTGTGTTTTAATTTTTACCATGTCAGCAAAGTATGTCATGCCAAGCCTGTAGGATTTGATGCCCTGATCTGCCATCATGTTGTGGACCAAAACCAGTTTGCGATTGGACAACCAGGTCTGCTTACGCTGAGACTCTTCCTCCACAGAACGGTAGATCTTACCTGATACACACAAGCACAGCTGATGATGCATTGTGATTTAAACAGTGTTAACTGCAAAAGTTTTGCTAGTTAAAATGTTTTAACAGACATTCGTAAAAATCAATCAATCAATAAATCAATCAATATAATATTTAATATGTTAAAATTATTAAATAAATTAAATGTGTGTAGTAAATAATCTAACTAAATAATGCAAATATTTGCAAGTGATATTTGGTAGAAAATAAATATCTTAAAATGAATTTGATTATAGTCATCTAAAATATAATTTCACATTTTTCATTATATAGTTTCATATGTTTAAAAGCAAAGCACGAAAAAATTATTTGACTGTCAAATAATTCAACAAACAATTCTGTCTTTTTTAAACATCAATTAAAAAATGTCAAGCATCTTCTGAATTTGTTTAATGATTTTTGTTCCAATTCAACTAGAGGCATATTTTCACATTGCATAAGGAACCTGTTGAACTACCGTTATATCTGTAACCCTGGAAAGTTACTCTGTGTCAAATGTTGAGTTAGGTTAAGTCATTTCTCATATACAGTAGAATAAAAGCCTGAAGTGAGAGAGGACACAATGAACGATGCGTGAGATTCATCGAGACGCTTCTGTCTTTGATTATTGTCTGAAAGGCTTCACTGTCTGTTTTGTCTAGTTTGTTCATTCAGTCAGTAAAGAGAACCTGATGGCTCTCTTTCCCCAAGATTTTAAAGATATCGATAAAACTAAGAAGCAGACTCTCTTACCAAATTTCATTTTCCATGCGTGAAACTCCATGTCCTCCAGAGAAAGACTGGCAGCACTGGCAACAGCCAGAAAAGCAGCGGCAACAACCAAAAACCTCATCCTGCACCGAGAAAAAGACATAAGTGTGAGGTCGGACAAGAGGTGCACAAGATAAAACAGAACTGAGGTATCTAGCGTCACTGTTTCATTTCTTCTGTAATACACCCCCACATTTTCCCTCAAACAGTATTTATTTAAATCTGGTTAAACCTGAGTACTTACTTGTGATTGTATGTAGGCTATACGTTTCCTTGATATCGGTCACCCGGCCTGTCTGTGTTTACCAGAATGAAGATCTGAGTTTATATAGGAGTTTATAGTGTCTCTGATCAGGTGCCTGTCATAAACCCATAAAAGAACTAGTGATGCTGAGTGCACAAGAAAAAAAAGGGGAAATTACGTAACAGCAATTGTATGTGGCTTGTAAGAATGTAATGCTGGGGAACACGCTGTGTGGAAGGAAGTTTCCTCTAAACATCAACTGGAGATTATTTTCTTCTTTCTTTCATCTTTTACAGCGTATTTGTTTGATTGTGTCTCAGCAGTATGTGAGTTGTGATTTTAATTAAATTATTCAAGGCAATGTCAGCAGTCATACCAATGACAACACTGCAAAACATGAGTCATAAATGTTTTGATGAAGTTGCAAATTTTCCGGCTCTTCCAGTAACAAACTGCATGTGACACATTCTTTCAGAACCAGTATACCTGTGTGTATATGTGTCACTGCAAAACATGCTTTTCTAACTTAGATCTTTTGTCTTGCTTCCAGCCAAAATATCTAAAAATTCTTAAATCAAGAAGGATTTTCTAGACAAGCAAAAATGATTGTCTTGTTTTCAGAAAAAACAAGTCAAAATTAAGTGCGTTTTTGCTTGAAACAAGCAAAATAATCTGCCAATGGGGTAAGCAAAATAATCTTGTTTTCTGTTTGAAATAAATCAAAGAAAATCCTTCTTGATTTAAGAATTTTTTGATATTTTGCATTTAAAAAGCATTTTTTGCAGTGTATGTCTAAATGTGTGCTTGTGTGACTTAGCTATATGGCCTATGAGGAAACATTGTGACTTCATCTGAAAAAAAAAAAAACATTCTTGTTTGTAACAAAAATTATATAAATAAAGTAAATGATATATCACCCGTAGAGAAAATTTACAGGTAATAGCATAATTTTAAACTAATATATCATTCCCAAACATGTTGAAAAAATGGAATAATGTAACAGAGAGGTCTTCTAAAGGAGGTTAATTTGCAGTAATGACAGGCTTACTGTACATTGTCCAGTGACAACAAAAGTCTAAGCTATTGCCCTTTTAATAACCGTGTGAGTGAATTTGTGTAGGTTGGTATGGGCTTGTGCATGCGCCCCTGTACCATTTTTTGTATCTCAGATAAAAATGTAGGCCTATACATTAGGATAAAATAATCTGTCATATGAAAATATGTGACTGAGTACTGTTGCATGTCAGCAATACATGAGCTGATCAAACAAACACATGAGGAAATGTTGCATGACTGTCAATGTATAGGCCTACAATATAAACAATGTTTATGTTAACCCAAGACCACAAAGCAAAAGTTCATCAAAATTCATTTGAACAAGCTCCAGGCAAAGATCACCAACTTCCCTGTCATCACATTCTCATGTATAATATTTCACATGATTTTTACTACACTGTGATAATGATTTCAGGGTGTGTGTTTTTTTTTAACTCATTCTCTCTTCTCTGCCTGTAAGCATTGTGATTAATATAGCATTTGATTTCCTGTTAATGTGAAATACCATTTGAGTGGGAAGATTCAGATGACTCTGAATCACATAGCTTTTCTGATTTCTTTGAAAGGTTTTACCCAACCCCTGACATCCTGTTTACCTCAGTCTCACAAAGATGTTGCCTCATTAACATATCCTTGCTCATTCTGTATCACCTGCCCTTGTTTTTATGAGTCTCTTTTTCCCTTCACACTGTCACATAATATATTTTTGCCGCTCTCTCAGATGATCATGAATCCTGTGATCTATGGACTCAAGGCCAACTTAAAGATCAAATTAATGTGTCTTTCTGAGCTGTTTTTGCACTGTCATGATAGAGGTAAAAGATCAGGTGACATGGCACAGAAGCGTTCCCCACATTTGAAGAACAGATGTGGTTTTAGGGTAACATGCTGCAGTTCTCTATAGGATGACTGGACTCCTTTGTATTGAAGTGGACAAAAGTACAGAGCTCATCTTGTTTTTTGCACGTGTTTTGTGGTGGTTTCAAATGTATAGATGTAGGCATTTGTGTGTTCTCATGTGTTAGTGCTTAGTGTACATTTTATGTATAGGTGCTTGTTTGTGCACAAACATGTTTTCTTCCTCATTATTGTCTATCATGATGAAGCCTAATGCTCATTGACCAAGACTTAATTTATGTGATCAAAATACAGTAAAAACAGCAATTACAATGTAAAAAGAAACTGTTCTATTTGAAAATGTTTTCAATTGTAATTTATTCATGTGATGACAAAGCTGAATTCTTAGCAGCCATTACTCCAGTCTTCAGTGCCACTCGAATCTTCATAAATCATTCTAATATGCTGATTTTAATATCCTGAAATTAAACTGACTGTATAGTTGTGCATAGTTTGTATCATAATAATTTTGCATATTGAATCATAATAAAGTTGCTGATCATAATAATGCTAATGCTAATAATAATATATTTCACGGTTTGATTTTTGTTTATTTTTGTACAATTTTGGTACTGTACGACCACCACTTAATTTTTTATGTAAAATCCTAGCAAAATCAGTTGAAAATGACTGATCTTAACCACACTAGGTATATTTAAGCCACCAGATGACATTAAAAAAACACTTGCTTGCTGCATTTCTGATCACATGTTTGAAGTATACAATTTTTATAACTTGTGTCAAGTGACTGATTGTATCTGTGTCCTAAAAACTTGGACAGACAGATGACCAGACAATATCTGCCCACAAAAATATTTTCACTTTTTACCATCTAACACATGATTGCCATATAACAACAATATAACTGCTTAATCATGTGACTTTGTCCGATTTTAATGTTTTTCATAGATTACAATACTTGTGACATACAAATCAGCGTTTTTTTGCATCATTTTGTATACTATACCAACTGTATTATTATTTGTTTTACTTAATATATATGTAAATCAGATTTTTTTTTTTTTTACACCATTTTCCACGAAGTTTGGAAAAACAATTACAATGCATGACCAGCAGAGGTCGTTTTTGTTTCTGCTCATGTAAGTGTGAAGTGAAACACCTGACAAAACTTTAAAGGTCACATACCATTAAATGTGCTTTCTGAATAATGGCTTACACTTGAACTGATTATGAAATGACTCAATGTCTTCCTTATTCTGTAAAAGTGCAGTAATGTATCGCTTGAAAAACAGAATAACTCACTGCTTTGTTCTTGTTCTGGCCTATTTATTTAAGGAACTTTGTGGCATGCATTTTTGCTACATATATATTCATAATCAACTTTCTGTTTTATCTTAAAACATAAATATAAATAGTCCCTGTTGACAGTCAGAGATTTTGTACCAGCTGGCTGTCATGTTTTACAGTTTTGGCAGGGGGGTCTTAGAGGAACCAACTATCCATGCACCCGTTTATAATTTCATGACCAGACAAGAGTGAGTTTGTGACCTACAACATCAGTGATAAGCCTGGAACATCTTTCCTTCCAGAGGAACATAAACACAGTCTGATCAGTATCAAATCTGGGCTACAGCATCCCACAATTACACAAGACACAAAAGTAAATCAAGGCTTTCTGTAAGTGACCTTCCTGTCTGTGACTAACATGTTAGCTGGAAAAGTTTCTTTGGTTCACGCTCTAGAAATCTGGATGCCACAAAGACAAATCAGATTTTTAACCTACAACCCAATTTTGAAATATCTAACAAGTATTCTTTTTAATATTTCATAACCATAGACTTTTTTTTTTTTTAGAAATGAGTAATAGGCCATTACAAGAACAAGGCAACATATTTAAATGCATGTTTAATATGGAAATACAAACAATTTCTTACACTTTTAGTCTTAACAGAACATTCATTCATTCATTCATTCATTTTTAATTCAATAAAGTAGACTCACACATAAAAAAATACACCAGAAATGACTTTCCCCTTATAATAAAATTTATGGAACCTTGCCATTTCTCTGAAGTGGTTCATTAACCTGGAAAATCACATCATTTTATTTCACTCTTTAATGATAATTTATGGTTTATTAATTCTTTAAATTCTCTCAGATTTATTGTAGCTGTTTCACACCATGGCACGTTTTCCAAGAAAAAGAAAAAATTAACAGCACTGGCCGAAAGTGTATTTTAATTGAAACACATAAATGCTAATGTATATATAAATAAAAATACTGTACATGGGAAGAAAAATAATGCAACAAAACAATACAAACACATTGCTGCCATCCTTATTCAATCAATATAAACAGCCAGATTTTTTGAAAATGTGTCATTCTATATACTGCACCATGCGATGTTTCTTACGTCTCACCGTCCAAACAGAGAACCTTAGAGGACAAGCTGGATTTTTACACCACAATAAATTAGTTTAACAGATCAAAAAAACAGAAAGACCATGTCGTCTAGCACCCTTGCCTCCCCTAGGCGTTCTCTCCTCGCCCTATGTTCATATCTCCATGGTGCACACAAATAGTCCTGGAGCGTGTTCAGAGCGTGTGCAGAGCTGGTGAAGAGAGCCGCTGTGCGTGGGGGCTAAAGAAACAACAGTTCGGCTACAATGGGCCAAACTGCAGGCTTTAATTGGATGGTCGATGAAGGGCTTCTCATTAAAACCAGTAGAGCTCCTTCCCTTTCTTGTGGTGCTGGAGACCTGTGGTGCAAAGCAGAAATGAACACAATGGCTGAACACAAGGAGGAACCATTCACACACACAATCTCCATGGTGGCTGCAAACTCTCTATATAATAAGCACCAACAACTGAAGCCAAACAATCCATTTCCTGCCATTAACCTGGAGGGTGTGTGGCTCGTTTGCTTTAAACATAATTCATGCACTTTTCTAAACAGAACATTGCGCGAACTTGATCGGTAATTTGCTGGTAAACTCTCAAGTTAGTTTGGAAAACGAAGTTCTGTATAGCACACATGAAAGCTTAATGGCTTAATTTTACAAACTGAGAGTTTACCAGCAATTTACTGATGAAGTTTACACAATGTTCAGTTTTAAAAAAGCGTATAATTTATGCTGCCAGAAAAATAACTAAAATGCTAGAGCTAAAAAAAAATAATAATCATTTTGTGAGCAGTTTTATGCATTTTTACATATTATATTTTGTTTTTATATTTTTACGTATTATGTGTTATGTGTTATATTTTTGTGTCACAGATCTTGAGACACATCTCTGGGATTGTAAGTGTATGGATCTTTCTACAAAACAGGTCTGTGTCCTTTTTATACATGTGTGTAAAAATGTGGTTTGAGCTGATGCTGACTTATACTGTTTATTAATATAGACATTTTTGATGTTGTGTTGCCAGGTTATACAGCAACCTTATCATTTTTCCCTTTTTAAAGTCACAACCTTTTCTATTAATCAACATAAATCACTAACATAATCATTATTTTAAGAAGTGCACTCTTCAGTTAAATTCTCACATATTAGATTCTCCTCTTTTGTCACATTATCTTATATTTTGTTACTTCATTTTAGTAGGAGGCGATTTTCAGACGTCAACCCTGTTGCCAAGATTTTGTTTAATAAACAGATGATAAATAACTCAGTGGATATTTGTAGAAATATCAGCATTAGATTCTGTTTAAAGAAGCACCCTGTAGTTTAATTACCTTGAGCACAAGGCTTACAGTGTCAAATTAAACCATAAACTCATTCTGAACACATAATTATATATCTCTAAATATTAAAACATATTAATTTCTCTTGAGATATCACAATGCCATTTACTTATTTTATTCATATTTAAATTAACATTAACATTTAAATACATTATTTATCTGGTACAATGTTGTTGTTTTTTTTAAACATCACCTTCATTAAATATGAAAAGCACATATTTAATTAAAAAAATTCATTACAGTAACCTCAGTACTTGCATTTTATTTCCCTACATTAGATCACCTTACCTGGTTCCATGTTGAGAGCCAGACTCTGTGCCACTTCCCCAGGTGGAAGCAACCCTGGCCATGTTGGGGTGGGTTCCAGCTTTCCCACATCGTAATGCCCGGGCAGCGTCGGCAGATGAGGCGGCCGGACGGCAGGCATCAGTAGGGGTCCGAAGTGGGCATCCAGCCCAGGAGGGGTGTACAGTTCGTGTAAGGCCCGTGGAGGGGGATAGGGCTGGCTCTGAGAGTAGCTCCAGGAATCTGATGGGTGCGGGTGAGCGTGTGTGTGAGGCAGACCCGGGTGCAGGACCTGGGCGTAGGGGTCCATAGCATAAGTGGGAGCACCTGTGGGATCACAGTGGAGTCGGCTGGGTGGAGAGGGGTAGTTACTGTCCCAGAAAGATGGAGGGAAACTGCGCCGACTGGTTGAGGATGAAGTATCTAAAGGGGAGAGAAAAGAATGAGAATGACAAAGAGAAACAAAAAGCAAAGGGTGTAATGTGATGTTTGCTTAGAGACAATTTACTACTGTAAATTTTGATATATTTTCATTTTGGATTGTAAATATTGGCAGATTTGTAAGTCAGTGGGATAATTACACAAGCGACAACGGTCTATCAGTTCTAACACCATGGCGAAAGTTCGAGCAAAGCATGCTAACTGTTCTGTCTTTGGCCTCAGAGGAGACAAGAGAGCAGTATACTGCATATTATTACTGTATATCACCTGCTGCCACACAGATCTAAAATAAGCATGCAATTTCTTTCCCAGCTGTTTACCTTCACAGACATAACCGACTGTTTTTGTAACGCATGTGTGCTTTTAACAAACTTGTGTGTATTTGACAGTTTAAGCGCAATACGACATGAAAGAGAACTTAGTTTAGTAACGTTACTCATATGCCATGTGACAGCCACTTTCTGTGTGTGTGCTTTGGATGTGTGGGCTATATGGTTTAAAACGTATGATTTCAGCACGATAGACATGATAATCAAAACCAAACAGATGTTTTTTGGCAGAGTATCTGAGGTATGAGCTGTAAAGGCACAGGCCTTTTCTGGAAAAGGGGGTTGGGAGCAGTAGCTCATTTGCATTTAAAGATACATGCACGAAAACAGTGTGTTTCTGCTTCCACTCAAAATAGGCATTTTCAAAATGATATAATAAATTATCAGTGGGGTATTTTGAGCTGAAACTTCGCAGACACATTCTGGGGACACCTGAGACTTATATTACATCTTGTAAAAAGGGGCATAATAGGTCTCCTTTAAGAATTATTTAAGCATCTGTTCAGGTTTGTCTCACACAACAAAATCTCAGTTACACAGTATTGCCATTGCTCTGTTTCACGAACGAAAATTGTTCCAAACAAAGCCACAGCAGAACCTTTGCGAGGAACACAGAGTGGTGTTTCGTTCGGGTTGAGCGAACAATTCAATGACTCATTCATTACAAAGACAGTCACTTGTTTTGTTCCTAAATGAATCAGCCACTTTGAACAAACTGGTTGGATGAATGATTCAATTATTCACTAATTAAGACAGGGATTTGCTGCCAACTACTGGTGGAATTAGTTTCATGTTTAAAAGTATAGGCAATCCATCATTTTTTCTTCATTTTTTCATTAATCATTTAATATTTATTTTGTTTTTTTTGTTTTTTGTTTGTTTGTTTTTTATTGTTTTTACAAATAAAAACACCAAAATCAATACAGTACAATCAAAAATATCAATACTTTTTCTGTTTAGTAATGTCCTTATAAAGGTTGAAAAAATGCACCAGAAATCAATATATCGGCCCTTAATGAAAAGTTTATTTCCGTCACTGCTACTGTTGCTATGGTGACCTCCTCAGGAGAATATGACCCCTGTTCACGAGCATCTCTCTTCTGTGTGCTCTGACTAACTTGTAATCTCAAGTTTGTGGTTACTGAAATGTTGTCTGAACACTGTTGAAACATTGAAACTTCCTCCTCAAACGCTCCTATAATGTGCACGCTGGTGTCGGTTAGTTATCATATTATTAGAGGTCCAGCTGAGATGGCATTTCTCTGTGTCTCATTTGTCCACATATAAGGCCGTTGCACCTTGGACTTTCAGGTCAGGCTTGTCACATGATTTCCAGCCCCATGCCCTCAGATGTCTTTCTGGTTGAATCATGTGGTGTTCCATTTGCTTCTAAAGAGCTTAGCACACATCACAGAAATACACATGGCCACATGAAAGATGAGAGACGGAAAGAGAGAGAGGGAGAGCTAGAAAGGAGTAAGAAACCCCATCAAAGAAATACAAAAGATGAAGAGGTCAAGATATTGACAAGCAACAAAAGAGCAGAAGAAAGACAAGAAAAAGGCGTAGACTTCTGTCTGCCATAAAGGTCTATATAAGGCACGAAGTTAAACCTGGAGGTGGTCTTCTCCTTCTTCTGCCCCCAGCACCTCCACAGACCTGCAGACCCCTGTCTCTGCTCATACCCCCACCTGTTGTTTTTACTAACCCTCTCGCCCCCCGTAACCCCTCATAGAATGCGGAGGGAGGGGTGAAGTATGTTTTTAGCCGTTACTTTTATATTTAGAATTCCTCTGAAAAAAGACACCGGTGATGTAGTCGTGATCAGAGGATGGGTGGGCGAGCTCCTCATAAATCTGACGCACTGTATTGTGAGCCGTTTGAACGCAATATGAGCTCGAGCCACTGCGCTTACCGCCACGTATAAACATAGTATCTGTTGGGAGGCAGGCAGCGTCTGAGAGGCCAGATGAAGATGTCATGGGGAGGGAGGGAATATACCAAAGGTTCATTAAGGTAAACACACACAAATTAAGCACCACCTTGCATACACTTGTGCGAGTTGGTATTCAACAGATTACTCACGCTATCTCAGCTGGCGGCACAAAAGGGACAGAAAGTGAAAGACATTTGTGACTGTGCAACGGTGGTAAATTTTTAGTTCGCTCCTGTCCTTAAAGGGATAGTTCAAACAAAAGTGAAATTTTGGTAATCATTTATTCACCTTCATGATGTTGTGAGCTCATATGATTTTCTTTCTTCTGCAGAACACAAAAGAAAACATTTTAAAGACTGTTTCAGCTTTTGTAGCTTGAAACTTATTAACCTCTTTGACTTTCACTGTAAAAAGTGATAACCTGCGATTGTTACCTTAAAGTAGGGCTGTGCAAAAAAATCGAATGCGATTTTCATGCGCATCTCGTCAGTAAAGCCGCTTCTGTGATTAGTAGTTAATCTCCAGCACGTGCGTTCAGATGGAGCTGCATTTACTACACAGAGCCCTAGTTCACTGACAAGCTAGGCAAAATCGCGTTCAAAATCGCAGGCGATTCATTGCCGATTATGAATGCGATTTTGTGTAGCTTGTTCTACCTGATTTAACCCATACAAATAAGTGTTGTTGGTATAAATTGATGTATATAGGTTGGTTTATTGATGTTAAAATATTTTTGACTTCAATAAAACCAGTTAATTTAGATGTTACGATTATTTGTGTATGTATACAAACAGCTGAAACATTCCTCAAAATGTCTTCTTTTGCCTTCCTCAAAATACTAATTCTAAAAGGTGTTTTTCGTATTGATTCAATAGAAGAATCATTTTGAGTTCCCCAAATAACAAAAAAAGACACACAGTTAGGAAAAGTTCTTTTAAAAAAAACTTTTTTCTTAGTGTAAAGAATATTTTAATAATCTGAACATTTTGTGCAATGGTAAGGTGGATAATAAAAGTTCTTCATGGAACCAATGATGCCAATAAAGAACCTTTATTTTTACGTGTGCAGAAGAAAGTAAGCCACACCGGTTTGGAATGACTTGAGGATATTATGACATGACTAAATAATGATAATTTTAATTTTTGGGTGAATTGTAAAATTGATAATTCTTTCATTTCTCACTGACTTTGTACTAATAAGCACCTTTATTCAGTTACATTAAATTCAAATCGATTTGATTCAGTTCAGTGCATTTTATTTGAATACAACTGAGCTGAGTGCACTTAGCAGAGATGTGTGTATGCAAATGATTTGCAGTAATTTTAAATTCCCTTGCATCTGTCTTCATTCAAACTAATGGGTGCTTTAGCCGCACTCTCACCTGTGCTGGGAACACTGTGCCTCTTTTTGCCCTCTGCCTCCATATAGGTGCTGAGAGCTCTGGAGAAGTGTTCGTCCACCACGCTGCTAATGTCCCCTTGGTAGTAGGTAAAGAGGACACATCGTGAGCTCAGGTATTCTGCATCCCTGACTTCTTTGCCCTTCGTAACCTCCTCTGCTTGTCCGGCCGAAGGATACGGTGATGGGGACAGACCCCCTGAGCTGGAGCTTCCAGCAGAAACCGGGACACCCTCCGAGCAGCACGGGGTCCCCACGCTGTCCATCAGATCCCTACAGCGAGACGAGGGGCTTCTCAGACCAAGAGGTGCCTAAGAAAAAGAAGTAGCTGAGAGACATTGCGACACAATCTGTTTGTGTGTGTGTGTGTCTGACTGTGTCAGTGTTTATGTATGCTTGTGTGTGTGTGCAATTATGAATGTATACAGGCGTGTATGATAGTTGCGATCATATATAAAATATATATATATGACCAGATAAGACCAGGGCTAGTTGTCATATTCTCTGTAATTATCTGTGGTGTGTAATAAAAAAACAGTTACACCAGTGCTTGTTTTCTCAGTGGCTTTTTGTTTGTTTGTTTATTTGTTTCAAACATCTTATTCTAAACTCTCTTAAATTAGAATTATTTTTGTGAATTTTTCAAAATCTTCAAAATTAGAATATCACTGTTTTTTTTTTCAAAGTATTTGGTTTGAAAAAAACATAAATGCATACTTGTATACATTCAGAGTAAAGTCAACTATATAATGATTTTAACTATATAATTTTTTTATAAGTTTTAACTGAAAGACTGAACAGTGTTCTCAGGACAGTCAGATCAAGACAAGTTACCACCTGTGTTGTGAATGTTATTTCATATATATTTATGCAATTTATCAGTCACAATATTTGTTGACCACACTTGTTTGATATTATAGTACATTACCTTCGACATGTTTGCTATTTCATTAAAAAAAAATTTTGTTGTTCACCCCACACCAAGACCCCCGACCGCCCTCGAAAATTTAACTGCGTGATCCACACAATGCAGAGCAGTGCATAGAGTTTGGGCTACTGGTTTGATTGACAGACCACATTCATCTATCATGACTGCTGCCCAAAGCAATTAGGTGATGGAATTGTAAACCACCTTTTTGGAATAAATATATGCAATATAAATACTTTGCATAAATACTTAGCACAACTGTAAGGCATGGCTGGTTGTAACTCTAAATCAGTTTATATTTTAAGTATTTTATATATAGTATTTCATATCAATAATAAAGCTATAATATAATATTATTTATATATTTAAAATATACTTAATTTAAACATTTATATTAATCATAAGTTCCAACATTTCCAAAAGGCTAAAAAAAAAATCGAAAAATAATTTAAAAATTTGATACATCATGTAGTAAACTACAGTTAACTTGCTGTGCTGAAGAACATTGGCTGATTCTCAGGGTGGCACAGGGGTGTGAGGTAGTCTGGACACCCAATCCATACCAGCACTTGAGCAAAGAGATTCCTCTCAAATCTAGCTCACATTATCACCTTCACTTAAACAAACACGAGGTCAGTCAAACACACACCTATTAATGTTGTCTCTGTCCCACTAGTTTACATTAATATTCCAAATCCAAACTGTTAATGCTCTCTTCAAGAAGGAACCTCCTCTAGATCGTGCTCTGTTAAATGTGTCAGATATTCTACCAGATATTAATATTGGACCTTGAGTGCCCGGAGTTTTCTGACAGACATTCTAGAAACGTTAGGAGAATCGTGTGGAATATTTGCTGAATTTCATCCAGCGGTGTTAAACAGAGAGGAATGTCTCTGAAGTGTTTGCTCAGGGTCGACCGAGGAGATCTGTGCCAGAACTCTATGTCAGCTTCAATTGACCAATAAACTCTCCGTCTAATATAACTGGTTTCAGACCAACTGGTCCTGCAATGTAAAGTGTCAGAAATATCAGAGCTTTTAAATAATATGCTATTAATTAGCTTTTAAAATAAATACATAAAATAATTATAATAAATAATAGTAATTTTTAATATATATATAATATATATATACACATACAGTATATGATATCTTGTTTTATAGGCTTACTTCTGTACTACTACTACTAATACTACTACTAATAAAAATATAAAAGTAGCCTTATACAATGAGATATTCATTATTTAAGCAGTTCCTATATGTATAATCACATAAAGTAAGTACAGGATTTTCACTGTGCCTTATCAGTACTAAAACATAAAAAAATACCTTTCGGAACTTCATGCAAATGCAATATAATGATTTGTTTTAACACCCAATATAGTTGCACAATAATGGAGTACATTTACGGGAATGAGAGACACGGACACTTAAGACAAAGTTGGATCAAGTTCGGCACTGCTGTCGTGAGTACATGCTTAACTATTCCCTGCTGGAGGTCAGGAGGTCTGGGACCATTAACCTCTCATTTTACATGCATTTAAAAGACTTGTTATCTGAATGCGTTCTGGAGTCATGGACATGCTGTTGCCAATCTAATGTCTGTCTCGGCTGAAGCACACTGTGAAACTTTACTCACATTGGTGTGTTTTTTTTGGGATACAGGGGGAATGATGCAATGCCACAGGGAAAGGGGTTGAGAGCTTCAGCGTGATGGACAGCTGCTCCTGACGACACGCAGCACAGAGTTTAAAACAGACTCTGCACGATGACCACATGTAGGAGGAACCATTTATATTAATGGCCATGACCGATTGCTCTCTTCTTTCAGAGTCTTCCCAGCAACACATATCCTTCCTTTTTGGAACAGTAAGTCATTTGTCATTACTAAGAAAACAGGTTGTATGACTATATGCGTATGCTTGTGATGTCTAGCCCAGTCTGTATCACAATCTCTGAGCCCCAGCGTATGACCCCTGATGTAGAGCTCTGAGTGACCAAACTAGGGAACAGAGGAGAAGGACAGATGGCCCCCTCCTTCCCTTCACTCTCCTTCGAGCTCCATTTCTCTTTATTCCTGTTTCATTCACTGTCCAGGCCCCTCTTCCTAAGACTGTGTGTTTGTGTGTGTCTGTATTTGTGAACGAGCAGAAAATAAACGCTGATTACATCATTGTTCTGCAGGACTGCGGCTCTCTAGGACCGAACTTGCCTACCCCTGGTTTAGACCCTTCATGCTAGACCAAATCTCTCTCAGTCGTAAAACTGAACTGACAACTCAGTCAGGTGATCACAGGGGTTAAAATACCATGTAACATACTGCAGATAGTTTCGTGTTCTGCAACATTTAAGTTGACAAGGAAAATTCACATTCAGATTCTTGTACAGCTTGTTTCATTAATTATGAAATACTTTAAGGAATTTGACATAATAAGGTAACATGCTATACTAAAAAAATTCTAAAACAATTTCAAATCAAATATTTATATTTATATAAATTTGATAATTATTTAAAATGATTTTATACTTTTAAAATGTATTTTAAAAGTAAATCTTTAAAATATACTCTTTACATTACACTTTCATATATATGTTAACCTTAAAATCTTGATGTTATTTAAAAAAAAAATGAATGTTACACATCTTATCATTTGCATTGACACAAGTGTTGTTTTAATAATCATTGAGATACTATTAGTTTTTTTATATATTTTTTTCTGTTTTTCATTTTAAAATTAGTTAAAGCTTAGCAATTTTGTTGTGTCTTTTATCATTTTTAAATATTTTTTTAAATATGTCTATATAGACTTTATTAATTTTTTTGTTTCAGTTTTAGTTTTAGTTAGTTTAGTACATCAAGTTAAACTTAATAAAAAATATAATAAATAAAAATGTTGCCTTGTCAACTAACTGAAATAAAAATATATACATTTTCTTGAATGCTTTTAGATTTAGTTAACTATAATTACCCCAACTGACATAAATCTGTGATGTGGGGAGCATTGGATCGCAAGAGATGGTTTATATTGCAAGTACAAAACAAATAAAAAATGAATTCCTAAAAATAAATACAAAACCCTCTCCTTACCACTTGCACACTTACCCATGTACATAGTGGGTCAGATCCTGTGAGGGCCCTGAAACAACAATCTGATTTTAGGGCCTGGTCTGGCTCATCACCAATGGGGTCAGGGCTGGAGGTTATAGTGTTGTTTGTCTTCTTCAGCTATAGCTCCATGTGTGGCGTACAGTTGCTGCATAAGCGCGCGCACACACACACACACACACATGTGCGCTGTCTGTTACCACAACAAAGGCCACAAGCAGTCTGATTCTACACTATAATCAGGGCTCTAGAATGTTGGTTTAACTTTAGCCCCAAAACTCTTAACTGTGTTACATGAGCTAGCAGGAACTGAAGATGCTTGATTGTCATCTAAGATTATCTCAAGCTTAACAAATCTGCTTTCAGACTGAACCAGATCATCCTTGCATGTCCAATTACAGTATGTTCTATTTTTCCCTTGGCACATTTAATCACAATTAAACTATTGCGATTAGACACATTTGGGGTTCAGTATGACTCCTTATGCAAGGTCATTCCTTGCTTTTGAAAGGCCAGCATTGTTTGTAAAACCATAGGATCATTATTTTATTTCAGCATTTTATTTTATTAATTTATTTCATATTATTTTATTATCTTAAATCTTTTTATTTTATTTTATTTATAACAAAGTGGAAAAGATTAATTATTGCCTTTAACACAATAAACCTTTTATTAACTTGATCATTTTATTTTATTTTATTTTTAACTCAGAGGATTATATTATATTATGTTATGTTATGTTATATTATATTATATTATATTATATTA